GACAATGCAGTTATATTCAAAGGAAAGAAAATTAACAATGTATATACAGTTTACTTATTCACTCTTGACCTCTCTGAGGACATATGTTTGAGCTCCATATCTGATTCAGTGATCAACTGGCATAGAAAACTAGGACACATGAGCATGTCTAGACTTGCTAAAATCTCTAAACTCAACATTGTTAGAGGTTTGCCTTTAATCAAAGCATCAGACAAATTCGCCTGTGAAGCTTGCATTCTAGGAAAACACTGTAAAAAATCATTCAAAAGTAAACAGGATGTTACATCTAAAGCTTCCTTTGAACTGTTGCATATGGATCTATTTGGACCCACCAATGTCCAGAGTCTTGGTGGTAAATCTTATGTGCTTGTCATAGTTGATGACTATTCTAGATTCACTTGGGTATTTTTCCTGTCATCCAAAGATGAAGCCTTCTCCAAGTTTAAGTCCTTTGTCACTTTAGTTCAAAATCAATATAATTGTGTAGTCAAGAGCATAAGGAGTGATAATGGTGGGAATTCATTGATGATAGCTTTAATTGCTTCTGTGATGAACTAGGAATACTACATACCTTCTCAGCTCCCAGAACTCCACAACATAATGGTGTTGTGGAGAGGAAAAACAGATTCCTCATTGAAACTGCTCGTACCATGCTTTTGGAATTTGACTGTCCTAAGTTTCTCTGGGGAGAAGCAGTCAATATTGCCTGCTATGTTTTAAACAGGACTACAGTTCGAAAAGTAATCAACAAAACTCCCTATGAGATTCTAAAAGGAAAAACCCCTAAACTGTCCTACTTTCATCCGTTTGGAACTAAATGTTTCATTTTAAATACAAAAGACTCTATTGGAAAATTTGATGCAAAGTCAGATATAGGGATCTTTCTTCGATACTCCAGTAAAGGTAATGCCTATAGAGTTTTCAATAAAAGATCGAGAAAAGTTGAGGAATCGGTGCATGTTTGCTTTGACTCTTCACTTCCATCACTGCCCTTACATTCTGATATAAATAACTATGATTTTCTGCCCCTTAGCACCTATATTGAGACAAGAAATAAGCCAGACAGTGAAGAACCTCTTGATACTGAGTCAAACAACTTAGTACCACCTGTGGTCGACTCAACTGCACACCAGGACAATGTGGAAGCTGCAGCTCACATCAAAAAAAGGCATCCACCTTCTTTAATCATAGGTAACCTGACTGACCCTATTCAAACCAGAGGTAAGCACATCCCAGGTCAGTATGCCTTTGTCTCTATGCTTGAACCTAAAAACTTTAAGGAAGCCATCTTGGATGAAGAGTGGTTACTTGCTATGCAAGAAGAACTGTCTCACTTTATTAGACTGAATGTTTGGGAACTAGTACCTCATCCCCATAACATCTCTGTAATAGGCACTAAATGGATTTTCAGAAACAAATATGATGACCTTGGATACATAATTAAAAATAAAGCTAGACTAGTTGCCCAAGGTTACAACCAGGAGGAAGGGATAGATTATGATGAAACTTTTGCACCTGTAGCTAGACTTGAATCAATTCGTCTTCTCTGTTCTTATGAAAGCTATATGAATATCAAATTATTTCAAATGGATGTGAAAAGCGCGTTTCTAAATGGTGAAATCAAGGAGGATGTTTATGTTGAACAGCCCCCTGGATTCACTGACTGTGAATTTCTTGATCACGTTTACAAACTGTCTAAAGCCTTATATGGTCTTAAACAGGCTCCTAGGGCCTGGTATGATAAATTGACTTCATTTTTTATATCCCAAGGCTTTTGTCAGGGTGGAGTAGACAAAACATTGTTTATAAAATGCAAACACTCTCGCTCATTAATAGTTCAAGTATACGTGGATGATATTGTGTTTGGTAGCACTGACCCTGCAATGTGTGATGAATTCTGTTCTACTATGAAGAACAAATTTGAGATGAGTCTCATGGGGGAATTGAATTATTTCCTTGGCCTACAAATACTTCAAACTGACCTAGGGATCTTTATTCATCAAACTAAGTATCTACAATCCATGCTGTCTAAATTTGAGTTAACTAAAGTAAATCCCTGCAAGACTCCCCTGGCTTCTAATGCCCATCTAGATTATTACTTGGTAGGGATTCCTGTATGTGAGAAAAGGTATAGAGGAATGATTGGATCCCTGCTTTATTTAACAGCAAGTAGGCCTGACATTCAGTTCAGTGTCTGTCTGTGTGCCAGGTTCCAACATCAACCTAAAGAAATCCACTTAATTGCTGTGAAACGAATATTTAGATACTTAAAAGGAACTAGTGATCTTGGTCTGTGGTACCCCATGTCTGATTCTCCTTCCCTGATAGGGTACTCAGACTCTGACTTTGCTGGAAGTATAAATGACAGAAAAAGTACCAATGGTACATGTCAGTTCTTTGGGCAATCACTTGTGTCTTGGTCCAGTAAAAAACACGGGTCTGTTGCACTGTCTACTGCAGAAGCAGAATATGTGGCTGCAGGAAGCTGTTGCACCCAAATTTTGTGGTTGAAATCTCAACTTCTAGACTATGGTCTCAACTTTGAACACATTCCTATTCTTTGTGATAATACTAGTGCAATTTGCATGTCAAAAAACCCTGTCCATCATAGTAGAACTAAACATATTGAATTAAAACACCACTTTATCAGAGATGTAATACAAGCTGGACACGTAGAACTTAATTTCATATCCACTGAATTCCAAATTGCGGACATATTTACAAAACCCTTTTCTTCTGAACGATTTATTCGACTTTGTGGATAACTTGGTCTGCAATCACTTCACTCAGTTCAACCCAATCACTAAATCAAGTTCTGCTCTTCCTTTACTACTGTTCTTACTTCTAGTTTATTAATTGCTTAAATTCTGTCCTCTGATTTGTAGTATTAATTCTTAGTGCATGCATTTGATGTTTGGTTTTTCCATGCTACGTGATTTTCATCTTCAATAGTTATTACTGCATCTCTTCCCCTTCTGTCGTGCCTTTATAATTCCTCATCCCTGCCTACGTTCCTCTCACTTCTGTCAAGGCTCATTAGTGGTTTCATTATGACTGAATTATTCACCTCCTCCAACATTCCTTCTTCACTACCCACCTCTTGCTGCTTGTCCTCTGCTTGTCCGCACCTTCTATGCTAATCTTGACTGCCAGGGAATCACCACTCGGAAGCTCACCACCCTGGTTAATGGCTACTTCATTTCTCTCACATCAGAAGCTCTTGGCCTTCTTCTGAATCTCCCAACGGGAGGACCCCTTCCCTTGGCTCATGAAGATGAATTCCTCTTTTATGATTTTGACCATGTGATTGAGTATTCAAGGATCACTCAACGCCCTGTAGGGGCACATGAGGTAATAACCTCAGCTGATCTGAATCCTACTCTTTGCACTCTTCACTACTTCATCACCCACCTTTTTCTACCCCGAAATCATGGCCTCAACATTGTCACCAAGATCGATCTCTGGGTTCTGTCAAATGCCTTCACTGGTAAAAAAATTGACTACTCTCAGCTGCTATTCGGTTCAATTGTTCGAAGTGCTGATGCTCACCTTGGGGGGCGCCTTCCCTATGGAGGGTTCATTACCCTTCTGCTTTCCAATTTAGGAATATCCCTGAATGGTTACTCCACTATTGAAACATCAGTCTCAGTCCGAGCCCTCACTGTTCTCCAGTTTATTCACATTGACCCTCAGCCTTCGAAAGGGGGAGATATCTCTGGACCAGCATTAAAGAAATCAAAACCCCTGTCCAAGTCAATCTCCAAATCAATGATTCTTGGTGAAACTTCATCAGTATGCAAAAACCTCATCATCTCCTTTAAAGAAGAAGAGGCCGAGCTGGAACCTGAAACCATATCTGAGAAAGACATCAAATTGTTTGTTGATGACCTTGAGAGAGAATTAATGGAAGAAGCTGCTGGCACTCAAATAGAAAATGAGATGGAGGAAGAAGCTGGAACGCAGGGGGAGACTCAGGACACTCATCCTGAGAATGGAGAAAATTAGGAATCTGAATCTTAGGGGGAGTCAGGGGAATTCTTGATCATAAACTATCTTCTAAGAAAAATGATCTTAGAAAAATAAATACTCTCTGCAGGGGTCTATCTTTTGTTTTGGTGATTGTCTATAAGACCATAATGGTCTATCTGAGTGCTCTGATTATCAAAGACCATAAGGGTCTAAGTATGGTTCCTTGACTGTGTCATTAAGACTGATCTAAATAAATTGTTGATTCTCGTTGTTTTGCAAAGACAATGTGTGATGTGCAATATATCTTAAGATTCATGCCTATCATAAGTTTATACTTGTATGACTGCAGAACTATTGGCTTTTGCAGTGCCTAGACTGATAACAGGATTAAAGACTCGAACGCAGGGGGAGATTGTTGAGCCATGCCTCGTCTCTTTCACTCAATCAAAAGGCCCAGTTTCTCATAAGCCCACCTAACCCAGTTGCTACATCTCCTCAGACCTCAACAAGAGCCCAGTAACGCATCATCGTCTTTACCACTGTCATCAGCATCGACAAAGAGAAGTCGATCAATTGAACTTGAGTCATCGATGCATCGATCGTCACCACCATCAATTCTGCCCAAAGGAAACCAGCATTGAAGAAGAGAGACAGAAGACCTGCACTTTTAGGGCTATATAAAGATCTCATAAGGAAGAAGAAAGGCAACGGTTTCCTGATACTCAGTAAGAACTGGTTTAGTTCTAGGGAGTCTCTGGTTTGGGTTCAGTGTTTGTGTCTGGATAGCTTGAGTTGGGGCTTTGAGCCAGGAACTCAAGCTTATCCGGGCGTGGCTTCTTCTCGTTTCCTTTCTGTCCTTGGTTGTCTTGGATTTAGGGTTGTATTCTGTTTTCAGAACCCTTGATCGAGTTTGTTAGGTCTTCATTCTTTATCTTATCTATCTACTTGAGACAGTACCCTTGCTGGATAGAATCATCGATTCTATAATCAGTTTACTCCAGTCAAGTTAATAGGATTGAACACATAGCATTTTAACAGCTTCGTTTCACCATATTAGTGTCGAGGTCATCCCGTCCTAGGGAAAGAACAAGCTTTCTTTTCCCATTCCTTAACCTGGAATGGCCATGGGACCGGGCATAAAAGTCGAATCTATGACTGAGGTCGCTTTCATGGCGACCGGTCGGAGGAAAAGGGGATGGATCAATCTCCCCAGCCAATCCGATTGTGTTGGTTTGACGAGGCAACTTAAAGTTGTTACCCCAATCATGGCCCCATAATTGGTTCCTCAAGTACACCGAGAGAAGTGCCCAAGCCTTGGCGATCAGGAGATCATCGAGCTTTTCCATAGTTGGAGGAGAGAGGGTAGAGCTCCCCTCATGGTGTTTTTTTTACTTAATCTATACTCTGTCCTTGGTATCAAACTTGGAGTACAAAGTTATGGTCGTCCAAAGTTTGGCAAAATTGAGAAAATGCTCGTTCGAGGAAGCAAATGATGTTTTTTTTGGAACGAAGGTGGGACCAAACCGTCTATGACGTTTGCGACTTGTGAAATCTCGAAAATTTATGCGGTTCATTTTTAATTTCGCTACGATCAGATACTCGAGTGCAAAGTTACACTCGTTTGAAGTTTCGGCTGAGGTTAATTAGGAGTTGATCGTAGTTTTTTCTTTTGGTAAAGCCACTCCTTCTCCAAGCGGTCAATCAAACAGCCCTGGCCCCATGAAACTCTAGCCAGCGGTTTTCGAGTTAACTGCAGAGTGGCGTGGCGGTTTATGAGAAATAGTGGTGTTTTTGGTAATTCTGGAAAAATACCATCAAAGTGTTGCCTTCTAGTTCACTATAAGTAATCACAATAGAAAAAGGGCTAAATTACATGTTTGGTCACTCAAATTATATAAATCTTTCACATTTGCCACCCGAATTACTTTTCTTTCTTATACGCCACTAACTTTAAGAATCGTTGCACCGTTAGTCACCGGCTGTTACACTCCGTTAAATTTGTCCTACGTGGCAGTCAACTATAAAGTTTGACAGTTAACTAGATGATGTGGAAATTAAAAAAAAATTAAATAATTAAAAAAATTGCCACCTCATCTTTGCACTTACTTTATTTATATGATTGATCCTATTAATTATTTAATAAAAATTAATTAAATTAAAAAGATTTCCACCTCATCTTTGCACTTACTTTATTAGCAAAGAAAATAATTTTGAGGGAGGAGGAGAATCATTCGGCTGCGACTGTGATCGAGAATATTGGCAAACCAGAACATGTCCCGTCGAGAGGTACAGGGAGCCCTATGCGTTACGAGTCTGGTTCGGCGGCGCCATTATTTTCTTAATTTAATTAATTTTTATGACTTTCATCATTGTTTACCATAAGTTACTACCCACATACCATAGTGATAAAGTATGGTAATTTTTGGTCTAGTATTTTTTTCACCCAGAAATTTGTAGATTCAATAGATCATGATAAACTCGTTCCTTCTGAGCAAACGTTTTAAAAAACGACTTAAAAACGAAGAAGTTACCATATGGTATGTAGTTGGTAAAAAAAATTCTCGAAATATATTGAAAATTGATCTCATTTTGTAGAGCACAACGAAATCGTTCCATGTGTGCAAAAAAAATTGAAATCCGAGTTAAAACGAAGATATGAGTCGATTATGAAAACTAGGGAAAATAAAATGTCATTAATTGACAACCCTTAGATCTGGATTTTCTGGGTCCACTTAGATCTAAAGGTCCAGATTTAGTTACGCATAGATTAGTAACCAATGGTTACTCACCCTATGCTCACCCTATCCTAAGTCGCACTATAGAAAAAGTGAGAAATGAGTCTCTCTAGAAATCAAATCCTCTCAACTATCTGCCATTACTCCAATTGCTTTTTGTGCAGTATTCAAACCTCAAGATCAAGATCCCCTCACGCCAACCACCAAATCCAGCCTCTTTACTTCTGTGAGATCTTCATCTATTACAACCCTTTAAGTCAACATAGAAGCCAATTTAAGTGAAGAAAACCAAAAGGAAACAGAGAGAAAGTGTAACACCCCGAATTTTAGGTTATGATTCGACCATAATACGTGATCGGTTGGGTTGTCAGTTGCGTACTAAGGTTGTAATCTCGGATTAGTAGTAATAATAATAATAATAATTATTATTATTATTATTATTATTCTATTATTATTATAAAAAAAATTTACATATAGCCACCTAGGTCCGAGCGGCCCCATTCTTTCCCCAAAACCATCGGCCCCAAGATTTCCCAAACCTCCCCTCAACTTTCCCCAGCCGACCCAAGCTAGGAAAAAAAAAAAACAAAATAACAAAACCCGCCAGCTTCCCCAAAACCGCCCCACCTTTCCCTAACCCGACCAATAACCCCCGCCCCAAATTCATTCCCCAGGCGCCCTAGCAAAGCAAACTCGCCGCTCTGCTTTTTCGTAACCCGCGAGGAGAAACCCCAAGGCCGCGAGAAAAAAATACCAAGCCCCACGCCACCGATCAAAATCTCAATCCCAATCCCGATCCCGATCCCTTTCGTGTTGCTAGGTAAGAATCACGAACCCCTTCGTGGTTTCTAAACTCGATTCATTGTTAGACTAATTCGAAGCTCGAGTTTTTATTAGCGGTGACATTTGAGGGTTCGATCAACGAGGAGATCAACGTCCCGGGTCATCCAACCTAGGCCTAGGCGTGTGCTAGAGGTAAGGGAACTCGATCCCTTTGAGTTAGATCGATCGATTTGGGGATTTTTCGTTGAGGGTGCAATTCTGAGGTTTTAGCAACAGACGTTCAAGCCTTTAGTGACAGAATTTGGGTGGTCACTAAAGCTTCTGGGAATTTCTAGAAATTTGTTTTAGATGGTTTAAATTATTTCAAGTCTTTTTGGGGGTCGGTTCTCGAGTTTATAATTTTTATAAATTGAGGGAGGTCTAGGAGATGGCAGTGAATTAATTTGGAGATTTTCGAAGATGTATTTCTAATTTTAGAAATTGTTCAAACATTTGTTTTAATTAAATAAAAATAATTCCGAGGAGTTTATAGAGGTTTGATAATTTTCCAGGGTATAAGTACTCATGATTGATGTAGGAAAATTATTATCCGAATTTTTGAGAAGGTTCAAGTTAGGTGGAAAATTCTTCCAAGACGAAAATAATTAGGAAAAGTGGTCGGTTTTGAAGGGATTGTTTTTAGAAAATTTTTAAAGGGGATTAAGGGACCTTGGGAGCGAGTCTCGAGGGCTGGATGTCGAGGAGAGGAGGTTCTAGTGACCCAAAAGGGAATTCTAAATCGAGAAAGATCGACTAAGGGGATGACTTTCTTATTAATAGGTTCACCGAGATAATTCGGCTATGAAGGATTTCTTTGAGTAATGAATCGAGGAGTCAGCTTTATAAGGTGAGTGTAAAGGGGGTAAATTCTACGCCTTACGTGTTCTTTCAAGAATTGCAAGTCTTGAGTATTTTGATGAAGTGAATGTCACTGTTTGATTGTGCTATGGTTGATGATATGTGATTTTGTTTGAGCTATGCTTGATGTGAATGTGCATGAGTTCTCATTTAAATTTAAGCTTTAAGTTTATAAGTTATTGTTGAAGTTAAGAAACAAGTTCTTTTTAAGAAGTAACTCACCTTCAAGAAGGTGAAGTCGTTTTATGTGTTTTTAGTCACTAGCGCCAGTCTGTTTCCTTTTGAGACAATTTGAGAAATAGCATCAGTTATACTCTTGAGATTTTTAAGATGGGCAGCAGTTATGCCCTTGAGAATATTGGTGAAGAGCCACCACGATAAGTTTAAGATGTTTGGGGGATGAATCGTTACGACTTCCCTAACTAAGTTTAAGTTTAAGGAAAGCTTGAATTGCTTCTCATACGTATGAGTTGGCAACCGGGCTAGCTAGTGAGGGATCCCAGTGTCAGTCAAAATTTTAAGTTGAGATTTGAGTTTTAAGAGTAAAATCTTAGAGGATGGAAGTATCATCTACCAATTTGAGTTAAGTCCTTAAGTAAGAAATATCAGAGCTTTCAATCGTAAGGGCGTAGACTGACCCCAACTCACTCACCAGATCGTAGAGGAGGAAATCCTAACCAGCCAGTCCGTGATCAGCAAGCTAGAGGAGCTCAACACCATCGTCGCTGAGAGATGTCAAGCCAGGCGTCAGAGTAAGCATCGGAGAACTCTTTTCAAGTTATTAAGACTTTATGGTTAAGAGTTAAAGATTGGAGATTCATTTCTTTTGGACAAGTTAAGTTTTGCCCACGTGTTTAGGGCTTCGATTTGAGATATTGAGATATTTGAGTTTGGTATTTTAATTAAAGTTGTGTGATTTGAGATTTTTAATTATACCCCGGGTTAGAAATGTCTTTTTCCAAATTCAAAGAGGTGGGATGTTTCAGAAAGCCTTTACTCCTTCCTTCTCTAAAGGCTACAGAATCCATTTTGCTCTGTATCCCATCTTCTATGTTGTCAATGGCCAATTTAAGACGTGGAAACCTCCCATTGTGCTCCGTGTTAGCTACCTGCATCAAACAAGACCTGGATTGGCTCTTTCATCCGGGCAACCAAGAGATAACCCCATTTATGAGATGGGATCTTCACCCATCGAGCCACCCATTGGCGATTTGCAGGGGTGGAAGAGGATATCCAGGGATTTCTCAGGGTCAGATCAAATCAAGCTCAGGGGATTTAATTTGGAGGAGATAGCTACTGCAACATATCTCACAACGCAAAACCTCTATTTAACCTCTCCTCTCCTAAGATAGATCCACCACATCACTCAAACTCCCTAGCTCCTTGAAGGCTTATTTCCTACCTCACAACCTTACTACCCCAAAAATTCTCTTTCCTCTTTTGTTGACGCCATGGAAATCACCCGGGCGAACGAGCAAGCTGGAAAAGGCCACCTGGTTCTCAACTTTCAACCTGAAGGTGCTGGGGAGAGAGGAGAGGAGAGCTCAGTGTTGATCGGAAAATGGCTTACCGACAATAACATCTCGGTGGGGAAGGCCTGCAACGCTGCCCAGAACAAATGGGGAATCTCTGGTGAAGTTACAATCAGGAGAAAGGCAAAAAACCTCTTCATCTACACTTTCCCTTCAGTAGCTGGGAGAGATGTTGTCTGGGATTCTTGCCCCTGGAGTCTATCCAACACCCTGTTAGCTCTGCTGAAGTGGGATGGAAAAACCAAGCCTATTGAAGCTGAATTTCCATCCATCACCCTCTGGATCCAGTTTCATGATCAGCCAGAAGTTCTCAGAGATGAGAAATCCATCCAAACTGTTGCTGAATTTGTTTTCCCCAAATTCCATCGAGTGGATTCCTCAGGGCTGGAAGCACATGGT